GGAAAGGATGATGCGGCACAACGGTGATAGATATTTCCCTCAGATATGAAACCAAGGTTATCGAACTAGTAGGAGAACCAAACAACACAACGTAAACAGCCCCTGCACACAAATAACAACACCTCGCAACCCACGTGTTAAAGGGGTTGTCAATCCCTTTCGGTGTACGGCGCCTCAAGGTAGACAAAGGACGTGAGGTAAATTTGTAGATAGGATAAATAGATCGCAGAACAAATAAATTTCAGCAATGTATTTTTGTATTTTTTTTTAGTTTAATAGATCTGAAAATAAACGCAAGGAAAGAGTAGATCACAAGGCAAATATATGAGAAAGAAGACCCGGGGGCCGTAGGTTTCACTAGTGACTTCTCTCAAGAAAAATAGCAAACGGTGGGTGAACAAATTACTGTTGGGCAATTGATATAACTTCAAATAAGCATGACGATATCCAGGCAATGATCATTACATAGGCATCACGTCCAAGATTAGTAGACCAACTCCTGCTTGCATCTACTACTATTACTCCACACATCGATCGCTATCCAGCATGCATCTAGTGTATTAGGTTCATGAAAAAGCGGAGTAATGCAATAAGAACGATGGCATGATGTAGACAAGATCCATTTATCTATTGCGGCAGATATGGATCCCATCTATTTATCCTTAGTAGCAATGATACATACGTGTCGGTTCCCTTTCTGTCACTGGGATCAAGCACCGTAAGATCGAACCCGCTACCGGGCACCTCTTCCCATTGCAAGATAAATAGATCGAGTTGGCCAAACAAGACCCAAATATCGGAGAAGAAATACGAGGCTATAAGAGATCACGCATATAAGAAATCAAATAACTCAAATAACTTTCATGGATATAAAAAGATATAACTGATCATAAACTTGAAGTTTATCAGATCCCAAAAAACACACCGCAAAAAGGACTTACATCATATGGATCTCCAAGAGATCATTGTATTGATAATCAAGAGCGAGAGAGGAAACCATCTAGCTACTAACTACGGACCCGAAGGTCTACAAAGAACTATTCACGCATCATCGGAGAGGCACCAATGGAAGTCGTGAACCCCTCTATGATGGTGTCTAGATTGGATCTCGGTGTTCTAGACTCTCCGGTGGCTGGATGAAAATTCCGTCGACTCCCCTAGGGTTTCTGGAATATTGGGGTATTTATAGAGAAAAGAGTCGGTCCAGGGGGCACCCGAGGTGGGCACAACCCACCTGGGCACGCTTGGGCGCGCCCAGGTGGGTTGTCCCCTCCTCGGGACTCCCCCCGGGTGCAACCAGGGCCCATTATGTTCCTTCTGGTCCATAAAAAATCATCGTAAATTGGTGTGGTAAAAAACATGCAAAAAACAACAACTGGCACTTGGCACTATGTCAATAGGTTAGTACCAAAAATGATATAAAATGACTATATAATGATTATAAAACATCCAAGATTGATAATAAAACAGCACAAAATAGTCAAAAATTATAGATACGTTGGAGACGTATCAACATCCCCAAGCTTAACTCCTGCTCGTCCTCGAGTAGGTAAGTGATAAAATAGAATTTTTGATGTCGAGTGTTGTTTTTCATGTCATATCAGATTCTTTTCTTCATAGCATGGACATTTGGACTTTTATGTGATTCAAAGCAATAGTCTAGTTTTGACATAATAATTTAGATACTCAAGCATTTCAACAAGCAACCATGTCTTTCAAAATATCAATGCTAAAACAAGTTATCCCTAGCCCATCGTGCTC